AAAAATATCGGTTTCGATTATGATCTTCTATAAAATGGACGATAAGGTCAAAGGAAACGGGCAATTAAAAATATAACAATTCTTTGTTATAAAAATTCAGTAGAAAGGCGAATTTTCAGCGAACAGTGAGCAATGTCTGTTTTATATGCAAGTCTGGATATGATTTCAGAGTACAAAAATGGAATGGAAGAGTCGCGAAAGTATATGTAAAAAAGTAGATGGCACCGTTACTTCAAAATTAACTTCTATGGGAAATGTATAACAAAACCATATAGCCAAAGGCATCGCACTCAGACTATTTTATTTTAATTTAATTTTAATCTTTATTTTGCAATTTTTATGTTTTAAAAATTCAAACAAATATTACATTGTTTGTTAAATTTAAAATTAAGTTGTTTTTTTAATTGCAATTTTTTTACTTTGACTGCCGATTTTTTAACCATTCCTGAGATGTTAATTTAACAATAAATTTAATAAAAGCATTTATCCAGAAAATTTTTAAAAATTAAATTGAAAGTGTTCTAATTTTTTACTTATGTTTGATGTTTTAATCGCTCTATGTATAAGAGGAAATTGTCAGATTAAAAAAAAAAAAGTATAGAATACTTATAAAAATATTGTATTAATCCACACACTTTTAAAAAAAGTTAAAAAAATAAAATGTAAAATCAAAAATTTTAACATAAAAATAGCATGTTTTTTAACTACAAAGACCATTTGCACATAGAAGATGTGTTGAAAAAATTTTTTTTAACTTATAGTACGTAATATAAGCTTTAATTTAACAAATGTTTAACAGACGCGATAATTTCAGAATATTTTCAATATTAGAAAAAGCTAACTTTTTGTACAAAAGGTTTTATTTTGATTTCTCCATAAGGGCAGCAAAGTGTCAGATTTTTAAAAAAATATAAACTTTGTGAAAGGAAAACGCCTAAGATATTTAAAAAAAAATTATTTTGATGCATTTATTTTTAAAAAATTTAGTTCAGTTTTAAGAAAAAAAATTTAGAAATTAACCGATTTTCAGAATCGTAGTGTTTTAGAGAACATCATCTATTTTTGGGGAACAAAGTAAATGTTTTCCATTTTGTGGGTAATGTTTTCAACTAGTTACAATCTGCGAGTTTTTGACATATCATTGATAAAAAATCCCTCAGATCTGTGAATAAATTATGATAGACTTTCAAATAAAAATTAAAATAAACGCATTATAAAATTAATCATATCTCAGATTTGCATCGAAGCTACATTATAACATTGGTATAAAACGCATTGGAAAAAGTTAAATAACATATTACAACAAAACCATGAAATTTTTAAACATTGATTTACTTTTTATTTTATTTTTATTAAGAAATTAACTTTCATTTAATAAATTAAGTTGAATTCACACAAAAATAATTTTTTTAATTTTAATGTGGTTCATCATTTTTGAAAAATTTTGATAAAAGACTTTTAATTAATTAATAATTTTCTTTTATTTGCATCATATGGATTTTAATTATAATTTTTTTATACCTAGAACCCTGTTGATTAAGTATTAATCTTTATCACATTATGCTTATCTAATGTCTTAAAATCTACTACTGACTATGGGCACGAGAGTTTTTACAATTTAATACTTTGAAACGCCTACATAATAAATTAAACGGATGTTTATGTAAATTGGCACTGTATATTGCTAGAATTCAAAACGAATAAATCGTAGAAGTAAACCACTACACCCTGAGGCTTTAAACTCATTTCCAACCCAGTGATTCGAATAAAATTTATTTTCCAGACTAACAGCAAACGTAATAGTGAATTAAAAAGACAATTTAGTAAAGGCAAAACTTAACTAAATAAGCAGATTTCAAGCCAGTTAATTTTTTTTTTTTTAATTACAAATAAACAACCTATATTCTATGATTTATCTGTTTTATCACTATATTATATTTCAGGAAGTTGACGGAAAACACAATCTTACTCTTAAATTACTAATCAATTAGTAACTACACAAATTTTATTCTACACACTGTTTATTTCTACATAGAAAATTCGAATGTCTCTTTTGAAAAATAGTATATTTTTCGTAATATTATGGCCATTCAAAAGCAATAGAAAAAATAGAAGAGATTTTTGATGATCTATCTATTTTTTTTAAACATTTCATTTTAAATCATTTTAAAATATAACAGAGAGATATGTTTCTTGACGGCCATACAAATAATTCATTACAAGCAGTTTTCATATCATGAAACAGAGCTATGTTTAAATATTAAAATCAAATATTTTCTAAGTAGAAACTTATATCAAACTGTATAATTTTAGAATTATCTTACATACTAGAATTTATTGACTTTATTTTAAACTAATTTTAAGTCAAGCAGAGAAAAATAATAAGAATTGTGTTTAGTTAAATCTGGAATTTTGCCAAAAATCTACAGAAGGTTTTTTTCACGGAAAAAACTAGAATTATCATTCCTGCATCAAAAGAATTTTTGCTCTATGTAAGATTCACAATTCCAGTATTCTATTTAATACTTATGACTGATTGGTTTTATCCATTTTATAAAATTAAAAAAATATATAAATTGCTTAACTTTAAAATATATAGTTATAACTACAAAAAAAAATATCAAAACACACTTTTATGCTTACTGGTAAATAATTTCATGAAGTCAGGGATAAAACTGTCTAAAACTCTGCAGATTTTAGAAATTTATTGTCGAATGTGTCGTAAAAATATGTTAGATTCAAAATTCCTAGAAAAATTTCGTCAGCTAACTCAAAAAAGTTCAAATTCCAAAATTTTTCAAGAGAACAAAAAATGTTTTAAGATATGGAGTTAGGTCAATTTTGTTATATATTGTCGGTGACTTCGTCGAAAAATAAATTGTTGTATTTGAGTCATTGTGCTTTTAAACGATTCGTTATTTATAATACATTTTAATAGATCATAGTCACGTATTCGCATTTTTAGAGTTCGAATTTTTACAAATTAGACTGACGATTTGTACCATGGATATAAAATTTAGATAGAAATCATCATTGGCTCGTAAAGTGGTTTATTATAGGATACTTTAGAAGCATCAATATTATTTTCTGATTTTCTCATAGTTCATATTAATAAATCTTATGAATAGACAACTTATTCGAAGGCGAAAAAATAATTTAAATATGTGTAATATTTTATTCATTATTGATAGATTAAACATATTTCTCAACAACTGTATTGTTAAGAATTGATGTTTGTTGAGTTTAATTGTAATATTATTTTTAAAACTAATTTATTTATAATGTTTATAAAAAAGGAATGCAAGTTCACTCGCTCACGTTCATATTAGGTGAACGTTACGCAAACTTCATTGGTTTTATCAAGTAAAACACAAAATGTAAACGAAATTCATATTTTCCATTAATTTGAAGTAGCTAAAGGCCATTTGAATAATTAATAGAATCTAAAATTAAATACATTTTAAAATAAATAATTTGGCACAATCATGTATAATTTATTACGTTTGAAAAATAATCGTTAATGTTAAAGTTAAAGGGGTATAGAACCTAATTAATACTTAAAATGCATTAGTTTATTAATTAATTCGTACAAAATTTCTATAAGTTTTATAATTACCCTGTAACTTAACAAATAAACATGTTATAAAAAATAATATTTTTTTTTTAATAAGTAGTTACCTGATTTTCACTAATTAGAGATTATCTCCAAAAACTAGAATCAATTTGATATTTATAGAGCTACATTCTAAATTAGCAACAAAATTTTATTTAGAATCTACTATAATTGTTTAGCGCAATTTTTTTTTGATTTTTTGTTGTGCAGTGTATAGTATATACACTATTTATACACCTATTACCTAAAATTTAAATATTTCATGCTAAAGTAAGCTGGGTATTTATTAAAAGTATTTATATAATTTAGGTACAATGGGGTTTTTTTTTTTTTGGTTTAAGGACAGTAAAATATTGTTTTAAAAAACTCAATTATGCCACTGTAGGTATGACTATTTATTTATTTTCTTGTAGAGCTGTAAATTTGTTTGAATTGACTATTTTATACTAATAGATAATTGTATATACTGAATTTACAAGGTGATTCACTTATCATAAATAACTTAATTAATTAAAAAATAATAATAATATTTATTTATTTATTTCATTTAGCTTAATGTTTTTCTCAATTTGTCTATCGTAAGTATTTTTATATTCATCCCAAATATCTTATAATAAGGGTGTCAATTTTAATTTCTCAAAAGGCAAAAACCTTAATTAACTAGCTTGTTTAATAGATTATAATCTAATTAAGAAAATGACTAACCGATGACAACTTTTAGATCAGTATTTCGGATTTTATTGTTATATTTATATTTAGGCGAGAAGAAAAGTAAAATGTTTAGTTGTTAAAGTAGCAGCTCCCCACTCTTTACCTTCAGTCATTACTATAAATTATTAATAACTTCCAAAATACTGATCCAATAGTTGTTATCAATTAGAAAAGTTGTAATTTTCTTAATAATATTATTATCTATTAAATAAGATTGTTTATTATGTATTTTTTCATTTGAAAAATTATATTGACACCCCTTTAAGTTATAAGGGACGTTTCTAAAAAGTAATTATTTACTGATAAATCAAAAAATATATAATATATTTGTTAATTATTCATAAATAGTAAAAAAAAATTAATGAACTCCAAAATGAACATGAACGTATTCATTTGATAAAAAAATACATTTATATGTGAACGAGTTCCTTTTTACATATTAAATGTAAACGAGAAACAAATCAATTATTTAGTGAACGTTCCAAAAACTGCTTATATGACTCAAATATTTCATATTTTTCTTTCTGAATATTCAACTTTTATGGCATATACTAGTAAAAACAAAATAAATAATTATAATTAAATGAATAATAAGTCTTTTTGAGAACAACATATAATTTATTTTTTAGCAAATTTCGCAGAATAATGATATAATGTTATATTATTTATTTTTTAGGGAAAATTAAAATTTCAAAAAATGACTACTATGGTATATGCACTATTGTTTGTGCTAACATTGTGTATAGCATCTGGAAAAACTGACAACTGTACAAGGTAAATTTTAGTTATTTTTCTTAAATATTAAGTAAATTCCTTGTAATTTTTATAATATCTTATATAAGTATAGTATGATCTTATAGTTAATATCCTTTTTAGGAAAAAAGAATAGCAATAACTAACTTATAAGCGTGAGAGTAAAATATCACTGATTAATTTATGCGAAATAGAGAGAGAATGTTAAAAATTTGTAAATTTATCGCTGGTGAAGATGTGACAACACAACATAAATTGATGGCGATGGAGTTGTAGTATAGAGAGAAGAATGTTTGACAAAATAAAAATAACGTAAGAAAAGATAAGATGGTGGAAATTAAAAAGTGAAAAGGAAAAAGAGTTCTTTAAGAAAGTGAAAGAAAGCATGATGTGAAATAAGATTGCAGAATGCGTAAAGAATACCACAAAATTAATTGTCGTTGAAAGTAGGAGAAGGTAAGTCTATAAAACTGTAGTAAGACTAACTGTGTCATATTGGTCAGTGTTGAGCGGTTCACAAGAAAGTAAAGTAGAGATGAGAATACTTAAACAAATAAATGGAGTTACTAGAGAAGATAGGATGAGGAATGAATAAGTAAGAGAAAGCAAAGGAGTAGCGTCGGTCGTGAATAAAACGAGAGAAAATAAGTTTAGATGGTTTGGTCATAAGATGAAAAGGAAACCATGTAAAAACGATTATGGAAAAGAATGTTGAAAGAAGAAGAAAAGAAAGACTGAAAAAGAGGTGGTTGGATGTAATTGGAGATGATATGAGGACTACTGGTGTATGTATAAATGATGTGGAAGATCTTATTAAGTGGAGGTCTAAGATACGGGTGGTCAATCCTAAGTAGTTGGAATACAGAAGAGAGAGTATAAAATATATAACTTTGTAGTTAAATCTATAGAGATAACACTATTACCTTTAAAACTAAAAACTGATATTTTTTTAAGTAGTGATTTTTTATTTTAATATTTTATTAAAGTATTAATTATATAAAATTATCAATTTCCTAGTATTAAATATGAATAAATTGGATCTAATTAGTAAAAATATATTGTCCTATTTTTTTTATTTTTAATAATTTAGAGCTAATGATTACTATCTTCTAAGATCATATCTCATTTGAAGATTACCCTAATACTTATTTAGAGATTTGAGTTGAATATAATTTATAAATTAGTTAACAATTCACGTTGTTTTTCTTATTTATCTTTAATAGACTTATAATAATTTTAGTAAGATGTACGTTTACTATTAGACAAATAAATTTAATTAAATTGGTTAGCATTGAATGAACAGTTTGCAATTACTTTAAGGGCATATTTGTCTTTTAAAATAAAGTCTCTATTAAAAGATTCTATAACAACACAAAGTTTTTTTGTGACTTGAAAAACTTTCAACCTTAATAAACATTGTGTTGATGCCTAAACACAAAACTTTTTAGTGGCGTTTTTATTTATTTAAAAATCAATAATTTTTTATTTTTATTTTATCTTGAATATATAATTATAAAAATAAATTAACAATATGTCAAGTTGTTTTAAATATAATATTAAATTCTATTTACGATATAACCAAGATAGAGTTATATTGTTCAACCTACTTGATAAATATTTTACAGACATATTAATGTGGTCATCAAATTCTGACCACATCAAAAACAATAAAATTGTTTAAATCAATCTTGGATTTACACATTATACAATTTGTGTGTAAAGTACTTCGCATTGTTAGATTATTTAAAATCTACATAATTCGTATAATTATTAACTTTATTGACTAATTAAAAAGATAATTACACTATTGTGAATATCATGACAAGGAAATAGTAATAAATTATGTTGTAAAGATTCGAAATACAAAGGCATATCAACATTTATTTTTGGATAATACTCTTTGGAGCTATTCCAAAGTGCTAAAATGTGATCGCAATCATCTTTCTTTTGAAGAATATTCACACTAAAAAATCTAAAGTAAACTTAACTACAAAACAATATCAGTTGTTCATGTGAATATTTTATGCTGTTATTAGAGTATTTCTTTTTGCTTAAATGTATGCATTTTAAATTATGAACTATCATTAATTTTTCATTTGGTCATTTTAATGTATACAATTTGCCTTTATATATAGATTTCATGTCTGGTTTTACGCTTTGTGTTTCGTATATTTGTTTGTTCCAAGTAAGAACACCACATTATTACTTTCCTTCTATAGACAAGCGATGAGAACATATTTATTATATTCATAAGTGCTAGTCCGTTTTCACAAAGCATAAAATCTCAGTACATTTCTCATTTATATGCAAATCTTAGCCGATTACTTAGTCACAAAGGCTTTCTACAAAGCTCGAATTCCCCTTTCAGGCAATAGGTATAATAATTAATCCATTAAAATTAATTTACATATTGAAATTTCAGTGATATTATTTGAATCCTAATTTATAACAAAATATTTATAAATTAAAATAAATTAAATATAATTTAATTAAAAACTATTGTAAAAACTTCATTAACTTAAATTACATTTTTTTACAATAATTTAAAAAAAATTGATAAAATAATGTATTTTGGTTAATGTTTTTCGAATAAATGTTAAAAACTAATAATTAATATTATAATATAAAAAATATAAAAAAGTAATATGTTTTTATATATGTTTTTATGTTTTTATGTTTTTATTAATAACATATTAATTAATATGTTTTTATAAATAACATTTTTATGAAAAGTTTAAATAATTGTAACAAAATTTTAACATGGTTCTGAAAAAGGTTTATCGTATATAAAAACGCTAAATATTTTTTTATATATATTAGACGTACACAATAAGTTTTTTAATTATTAATTAAGTAAAGTTATAAAACAGACGTAAATTTCAAATTGATTATGACTTTATATTGAATTGAATGCTGGATAAATTATTTAAACTTCTAACAACGTTTTATTTATAAGCTTATTTTTTTGTGGAAAATCCAACTACACAGCGTTGGTAAGTTTCAGATATCGACCGACGTTTTATATGAAACTTTTCTCGTTACCTTTTTAATTTTGTGACGATAAGTTTTATAGAACAAAAAGTTTTTTTCGAAAAGTATTTACAATAGAAGTAAACACTATCTTCCATATAAACTATTAAACAAATGAAAATTTGGATAGCAAATAAAAATGCAAGTTTAATAATTTGGCTATTTTAAATCAATTAGATAAAAGTTAGTATGTAGTACATTAAGTTATATTACAATGAATATAAATTCAATTAACGAAACAAAAAACAACTATTTGGTACATATATGAATATTTTTAAAAATACAACTAAAGTGTTAGAATTCCATTAAAATCAATTTTCCAATTTTTTACAATGTACTATAACCATTTTTGTAAGTTGACATTTTTTAAAAATTATTCGCCAGTTATTTATATTAATAATATCAGTAAAGATTTTATTTAATTAATTAGCCACAAGTGATCAATTTTTATTATATAAAGATTTTTGATTATGCAAACTTTGAATTTAAAAAAAGACAACAGATTTTATGATTTAATAACAGTGATAGGACGTGGTATAAGTTTTTCGAACTTCACAACAAGCCATCAATCTTAGTATGAACCAAACCTTTATAACAATATTTTTCTTCTGACAGTTTTTATATAAATCTTAAAATTGTATTTGCCAAAATAGACATTTTTTTATGTACGAATATATCACATAACTTTAGAAATCAAGTTCAATAAAATCGATATTTTAGTTGAATCAAACAATTTAAATTCAATTATGAATTAAATTTATAAGTTGCATAGCATAAATTCGTAGTATATAAAATAAATTTCATTTAAAAAACACAAAGTATAATTTATTTTAACTACTCATTCGAGGCATCATTTAATTTTATTTTATAATAATATATACTTGTTTTTATCAAACTTAACTAGTAGAATTGGGTTGTCACGATGATAGCACTCTCGGGAAACAAGTTTTCGCACATTTTCCAACTTTATACAAGTCATGTTTTATAATTAGAATAAACTCAAAACTTTTCTCTATTTAATTTCTCTTAGACAAATAAATTTTTAACATTTTATGTAGTTTATTACTAATAGGTAATACACTTTTCTAAAGATTTAATATAAGTATCGTAAAAAATGCAAGTCTTTATATTTTATTTATATGTTTTAATCTTCAAAATAATTAAATACATCAAAAACCCATTAGAGCAAAATTCATTATGAAAAATTTCTATATTTATTTATCTATAGTTGTTTTATTATTTATGTAATGAAAAAACTAAAAATTAATATCTATTTCTTTTAAGTACTTTATTGAACTTATTTATCATTCAAAGTAAGCTAACAGTATTTTAATGTTATTTAGCAATTAAACATAAACTGTATTTTAAAACAATATAATGTATTATATTATTTATTTTATATGTATAAAATTTAAACCATTTGTTACATATATATATATATGTGTGTGTATAAAATTTAAATCATTAGCGATTTAAATACTCATTATAGATTAATTGAGCATAAGCAATCAATGCAAAAACTTTAGTCATATGAATAGGGTAAATAGTGTTCATCTTATATTTTATAACGTTTAGAATTTTATTTTTAATAATATTGAAAAAGTTGTTAACAATTGAAATATTCTAAATATGTAAACCTTTAAAAATAATTTTATTGTGCTAATTTTCTTTTAATCTACAAATCGACATCTGATAGACATAGAGTATTAAATTTTCTTTGTTACTCTATGTTATAATAAATTACTTAAATAATATTTAATATTATACAGTAAATAATATATTGTAATATTATACAAACTATTTATACTTCAATTTAAATTGTCTTGTACATTTAAAATTTTATTTTTTTTAAATGCAAATAATTTTACCAAAGTTTGTTGTTAATACTTTATTTTTATTTTTTTAATATAGATATTTATTTTTACTAATATTGTGGTTTTAAGCCAAATTAAGCCAAGAAAAATGTTATTTTTGACAATTAAGTTATTTTA